AAAAAAAAAAAAAAAAAAAAAAAAATAAATGATTTGCCATTTATATTAAAAAATAAACCAAGAATGGTGCTTCTTGCAGATGATACATCATTAATTTTTAAAATAGATCGATGTACAAATAATCTTGACGACGTAAACAGCTCCATTCTATAAGTGCATAATTGGTTCACCATTAATAATCTAGCACTTAATGAGAAAAAAACAAAATGTATTAATGTGCGTAGTAATGATTGTGATGTTGTTTTAAACGGTCAAAAGTTAGAATTTGTCGACGAGATGGTATTTTTAGGCATTACATTAGACAATAGGCTACAATGGAGTCCGCATATAAAGGCGCTCTCGGGGAGATTGAGCTCAGCTGCTTTTGCAGTTAGACATATTAGACGGCTCACGGACGTAGATACAGCAAGGCTTGTCTATTTTACTTATTTCCACAGCATTATGTCGTACGGTATTTTGTTGTGGGATCGAGCTGCAGAAATAAAATCAATATTTATTCTACAAAAGCGGGCTATCCGAGCAATATATATCTTACGCCGCGCCGTTGCAAATCGCTGAGATAATTTTAACGGTGTCCTGTCAATATATATATGAAAATATAATGTATGTAAGGAAAAATAGGCAATTGTTTGAAAAGAAGAAGCGATAGACACAATTTTAATACTAGAGGCAAAAATAAGTTAGCTATACCACAATTTAGACTGTCCAAGGTACAGAAATCCTTAGTGGGGTTAGGTATTAAATGCTATAATAAAATACCAAATAGCATACTAGATCTCAATGAAAGTAAATTTAAAACATATATTAAGCGCGAATTATGTAATGAAGCTTATTACACACTGACAGATTATCTTGAAGATAAGAATGCTTGGCAGCATGTTGGTTCGGCTTCACTGGACAATACTCAAATGTAGTCAGTAGTTAGATTCCAATAGTAGGTTACTTAATAATTTAATACTTTCATTCTAATTTAGACAATCTATTTTACTTATGGTATCGAGCATTTCTTTAGAGGTATTTATTGAAACAAAGAGTTTCCTTTTCTTGTATAGAAGCACTATTTTTATGGATTGTCAGTATGCATATGTGAGCACCATGTTAGACTATAAGATTTTTTTATTTTAGTAAGTTTTGTAATTAGTGCCTATAATGCGTCAAGCGTGTCTTTGCATTGTTCTCACATATACATACAGTATTGGAATATGTATCAGAGACATTATAAAACATACTTTTTTAAAAAGAGTAACGAATGGAGTTTCTTGCTCGTTATTCTCCATTCGAATCTACATTTTGGATTGAGCACCTAGCTTCACTGACGGACTGTCAGTCAGTCTTATTTATTTTGTATTCGTTGACGGTTCAAAAATACCAAATTATGGTTTAATTGAAATAAATGCTTTGACTTTGACTTTGAAGGGCTAAGTAATTCATTTCAATTATATCACTTCCAAGTACTTAGGTAATCGATAGTTTAGAAACTTACAGCTAATTGATAGTAGTTAGCCTCTAATACTGATTTAAACTTTGAATTTTGACGTATTTAACTAGAGAAGATTTTACACAGAAATCAGGACTTAGACAGAGAGAAACTAAAAGTGATTTATTTTAGCATTTCCTTTTGTCAATTTGTTGTAAGGAATGTTATAAACATAAATCAAGGGAAAACATTATTATCGGAGTACTATGACAATGTAGACGAAGTCAGGAAATAAAATATCCGCATGCAGTGTTCCAGCTCCAAGTGTCCCGTGTTCCGAGCTCCCAGTGTACGCTGTAGGTACGTATCTCGGCCGTATAATAACATCACCCAGTAATCACGCTTGTGTTTACTCAAGGACCGTAGTATTTATTTGCTAAACTCTTGAGGGCGCCTAGTGACGACGGCCTAATTTCAAAATGAAAGCTGGATAAGCATTCGATTGCGGATCGGATAAACATTCCCCAAATACGTTTGATTTTAATTTTAATTTAATTTCCTAACTTTTTAACTAATTATAATTATATTGGCTCTCATACAAAATTGTTGGGATATAAATTGTTTTCAAGTGAATTCTAAATATAGGAACGAGGACGTTTGGTAGGTATACAATTTGATTAAATAAGTCGCAGTGTGCTTGTGGTTCAAAACATTATTTTGTGTGATTATATCGGGTTTTTAGAAACTAAACTAGCAACGGAATAACAGTTCTTACTTTTTATGGAAATACCTCTATAGTATATCTACTACTCTCTTTAAGGTAACCTTATAAGTTGGAAATAAAAATTTAGTTCACGTGCCGCTGAAAATTGAAAAGCAAATTCAAAAGTTTTCTGGATCATACCACTAAACTGCACATGAAAAAATCGAAAACAGGATAAAATACATAGAAATCTTTCTCTATTCATTTCCTTGTTTTTTTTTTAATTTGACTTAATATTTTTCAACCAAACATAGACGCCATTTTTTGATTTTAAACTAATATCTTGAACATTGGTCGCCGGACGCGACGTAGATGTAATACCTCGGGTATACCATTTTAATCCATTCAGTGCCGACTTTGAATAATCTTTAGAGGAACGAGAAAATCTATAAAGCGGTTTTACAAAGGTTGAAACTTTTACATAGATTTGTTATAATTAAAAGTTCAACAAAGAGAACTCGATCAGTCATTGAAATTATAATTTCGAATGTGTTCAATTGCTGTTATTCTTTTAAAGGTTGGGACCGATTGCCCCGCAATAGAATACGAATTTCAATTAAAACTGAAATCCAAATGAAATTCTGTTCGTTAGGATAGAGACGTGTTACCACCATAGTAAGTGGCCAGACGACAAAGACTCGCCAATTAAAATTTTGGGCCCTAAAATCGTACTTAGAAAGTTCTTGATTTAATCCTAGTTTCGTTCTAATCAAAGATCAAATAGTAATTAAGCAATGGAATTTGTGTTTCAAAGCTAAGCATAATAATAGACCTAAACGTAGCCACGTTTTAATTTTAGTTTCTCCACACATTGTGGTTTGTATGATTTACATATTTTTTTCTAAAACATTCCACCGCGGCTTGATAATAAATTCATAGTAATCTTAAACACCCACATCATAATTTACTTTATCTTGCGTATAATTTACATACATGGTATGTACGTACATATAATTCTTGTTTGTATGTATTTTGTGATCCAGACGACTTGGGAGCAGTATATCCAAAACTTTACCCAAAACCGGTTTGCAATATTAATGTATTGTACGTGGTAATCTTACTGATGTCGATACTAAGCCGAACAACTGAAATTATAATAACTGCTTCCCTAACATCCAATGTGTGTATCATGATCTTCTATCTGTGAAGATAAATGGGTTTACGTGTGTGAATAAAAAAACTATTAGACAGTACATAGTACATACATATATAGAGTTAAACGGGTCCACGTTCCAACCTAACTACTTGGTTCAGGACGGAACTCACGTGCGCTCGTTTTCGTCAAAGAAATTTACGTACGTATATCATATAGTACATATCTGTACTATGCGGTGATGAACTCACGAAAAATCCTCCTTGAAATTACCTCCGTAATTATGCTTTTGAGTATACATATAAAGTAGGTTCATTTTCATATGCTTGGCAAGAAAGTACAAGTATATTATGTAGGTACTTATGTAATTTTTAATTATCGCAGTTTATTTAAATA